TGAGCGAGGCCACTCGGGACCACTGCCGAAGTGACGATGGGTCCTGCAGTGAACGTAGGCAGAACCGGCGCAGCATTTGTAGGTACGCTGCATTCGATTTACCAACCCTCATGCTTGCATGTTGATTCTCTTTATTTCAGGTAGTGAGCTTGCATTTTTGTCCTAAAGCTTTTCTTTCTCATATAAATGTCTACCTGTACTCTCTTCTGTAAACTTGCACAGGTCGCTTAAGCCAATTGTAGTTAATTTCAATAACATTTTCGTGTTTGTGTCATTTCCGTAAAATATTCTTTCTGACCTCGTGAACTTATCTAGGATTCGTTTGTACACAACTTATTTCATATGCTCATTAATTCAGGATTCATGTCCCCGTTTCCTTATGCATTACTCGATTTATTTTCCTTGTTATTTTTCTCTCAAGTGATTGGTTGTTGCTTGATATCCCTGGTGTGGCTGCGCTTAATGTGCATGTTGACAAAGTGTGTACCTGTCTATTACCCACTACCTCGTCCATACTGGCTCTAGGAGACAGCTGGTCGTCGTCGTCCCATCGTGGTTTGCGTGCCTCAGAGATCCATTGAGCTATGCTGGGTGGTGCTTCTTTTTGCACTTTAAGAGCCACTCATTCCAGATTGGTCAATGGTTAGAGGCCAGACAAACTCACCCTCCTGTTCCTCTAGGTTGGGGGTTGGAATGGGAGTGGCTACTCATTTCATACAACGGGCTCTGTAGTCCAGTGCCAAAACCCGCTGCCTTGCGGTAAGGTTTTTGAACCAAAGGCTTTGATTGCGAACCCTAATCGTTCTCCTGTCTAGGCCTGGGCAACCTGACAGTATTCTGCCCACGCAATACAATGAACCTTTCCTACAACAATTTCTTGATGCTCTAGCCGTCGCAGAGAAAAATAAACGGCACCCTATCTGCTGCATCGAGCAAGGTGGATAGGGGTATGGATGCTACTGCTCAGGCCTTCCCGTGTTCTTATACCCCTTCTTGCGCTTCTTCATCCTTATCGTCCCGCTCCAACTTTACTTATATCCCCCCCATTTTCAATCCCCAAAATCTTGGCCCTCCCCCAGCTTACTTCAATAGTCGCTTGTCTTCTAATTTCAAATCACACACAATCGCATGGCCTCGCTCCAATCCAGTCGACAAGTCCATGTTCAACCAACGGACAACGTCAGTTCATCCGTTTCCCTTTGGAGTCCTCGTGTCTCGCTAAGACTAGCATGCCTCAACGTGCGCACTTTGCTGCAGATTGGCCAACAGGCAACACTTGCCCGCACACTAGAGACCCTATCGATCGATATTTGCTGTTTATCGGAAACCCGCCTGCAACATTCGAGCTCCGTGCTTACCCTGAGATCCCCCACATGCGACACTGGCGGCACATTCTCATTGTGCCTGTCTGGCGATGATGCAGCTTCAAATGCCGGTCAAGCTGGCATCGGCGTTATTTTGTGTCCCCGGGCTGAAGCTGCTCTGATTGATTGGATCCCAGTAAACAGTAGGATGTGCGCCGTTAGATTAGCTGGTTCGTTCCGTGCTACGAAGTCGCGCGGGGACAAACGTTGCCTGTTTGTCATTGCGGCTTACGCGCCTACAAACTGTAGCACTGATTCGGTAAAAGATGATTTCCATCAGCAACTTCACGAGCTCCTTCGTTACAGAAGAAGCACGGATACTTTGGTGTTGGCTGGCGGTCTAAACGCCCAAGTCGGAAAATTGTCCTCTGATGAGCTTCATCTGGGCGGGCAACATGGTGTAGGCTCCCGTAATGATAATGGTGAGCGACTGCTACAGCTGTGTGAAGATGCTCGCCTCTTTCTCGCGAGTACTAACTTTCGACACAGCACCCGCAGAAGTGTGACTTGGCGGCCACCAGCCTCGGGCCAGCCATGGACGCAAATCGATCATATCACGATCAGTTACCGCTGGAGAGGCTGTGTCCAAAACTGTCGTTCGATTTGAAGCACGAGCGTGGACTCTGACCACGCACTTGTCTGTGCCGACCTCCTGGTGCGTTTCGGTGGACGTCCAAAAAGTCGATGTGAATGGATTGACACCAGCCAGCTGGCGAAGCCAGATGTTCTGAATGTGTACCAAAGTGCGCTGACATCTGGGCTGACTAAGCGCCCAGTAAACACCGTTGAAGATCACTGGTCGCATATTCGTCAAACGTTACTGTCCGCAGGCATGTCTTCATGTGGCAAAGCAAATTGCCAAACCAGACATTGGGTCTCTACACAGTCTCTGGAACTTATGGATGCTCGCCGACGTATTCCGGCTGGAAGCGAATATAATGAGGCTCGCAAAAATCTCAGGGCAAAACTACGTGCTAGCCTAAAGAAGGACCGCGAAACCTGGTGGTCTCATCGTGCCTCTGAGATGGAAACCGCCGCTGCCGTTGGTAATCATCGTAAGTTATTCCGTATGATACGGGAAACAGGCAGCAGGAAACCTGGTGTTAGCGAGACCATACGCGACGAGAGTGGACAGCCGATCCACAACTTGTCAAAACGCTTGGAGCGTTGGGCTGAACACTTTGCAAGGCAATTTAACCAACCTGAGTTGTCGCTTTCTTCTTCGGGCATTGAGCGCCCTTATCCTTGGGCCGTCTCCTTGGATCCGCCCTCACGCGCAGAAGTCGAACGTGAGATCAGGCTGTTGAAATTGCATAAGGCCGCAGGGGCAAATAGAATTCCCCCAGCCCTCTTCAAATTCGGGGGACCTGCTCTAGTAGATGATCTACACGAGTTGTTAGTAAAACTTTGGGAGCAGGAGACAGTCCCGACAAACTGGAACCGCTCCGCCATTGTCCCAATTTTCAAGGGAAACTCCCATTTGGAATGCGGCAATCATAGAGGGATCAGTCTGATTTCGATTGCCCCTAAATTGCTTGCCTCTATCATTCTCCGCAGACTGACTGGCACTCGTGAAAGCCAGATTCGTGAAGAGCAAGCCGGGTTTCGTCGAGGTCGGGGCTGCATCGACCACATCTTCACATTGCGTCAAGTGTTGGAGCACCGCCATGTTTATTGGCGACCCACCGTTGTCGTGTTTCTTGACATAAAAGGTGCCTTCGACTCAGTCGATCGATGTGCCCTTTGGGACTGTCTGCTGAGGAAAGGTGTGCCTGGTAAATATGTAAACGTCATCAGAGCGCTGTACGCGCATAGTTTGGGCAGGGTGAGGGTTTATGGCAAACTCTGGCCACCCTTCAGTATCACCAGCGGTGTGAGACAAGGATGCCCGCTGTCACCTTTGTTCTTCAACTTCGCTATTGGTGAAGTCATGGAAACGGTGTTCGCTGGACACGATCTAGAAGGTGTGGAGCTACTTCCTGGTGAGCGACTTCTTGACTTAGAGTATGCGGACGATATTGGCCTAATCTGTGACAGCTCCCAAACATGCCAAACAGCACTGGAACGATTAGCACTGGCTGTCAATCGTTTTGGGCTATGCTTTGCTCCATCGAAATGCAAAGTACTTCTCCAAGATTGGCAGGGACCCAACCCTGCGCTAACGCTTGGTGGTGATCTGCTAGAAGTCGTTCAGGAATTCAAGTACCTGGGCAGCTATATTAGCACCCGTGGGATTGAAGATGAGGTTACGAACCGTATAGCAAAGGCTCGAGGTGCTTTTGCCAATCTCCGCCACCTGTGGCGCAGACGCGACATTACTCTCGCCCTGAAGGTCACAGTTTACAACGCAGCCGCCCGTTCAACTCTCCTATATGGCTGTGAAACCTGGCCCATCAGGTCGACAGACATGAAGAGGCTCGTCACATTCGATCATCGCTGCCTTCGCAGCTTAGCTCATGTCTGGTGGGAGCACCGCGTGAGCAATGAGCGTGTTCGGCGTCGCGTATTTGGTGCAGGAAGTGCGAGTGAACCGCTCAGCACCATTATATCACGCACCAGGCTCCGATGGCTGGGCCACGTGTTGCGCATGCCAGCACACCGACTCCCGCGACGTGCATTGTTTGCGCGTTGTGGGTGCGGTTGGAAGAGGAGGAGGGGAGGCCAAGTGATGACTTTGTCGAGAGAAATTAAAACCCTCACTTCGAAGTTGGCGTCGGTTGGTGCATCCCGACTGCCTGGCTGGGGTTCTAAGGACGGTGAACACGTTTGGTTGGACACACTCGCTGATATGGCTTGGAGCCGGCCCCAATGGCGCTTCTGTTGTGAGTTCCTTTGTCCATCCCCCTCCAATCACGATCTCACTTGTTAGGCATTATATGACTCTCTTTTACGGCAGCCAGCTGTTAGCTCTCCGGAACGATGTCCATCCGTTACTGTGGACTCAGTGGGCATGCCACCGTTTGTTTTCCTTTTCTTGTCTTTTGTATTACGGCACAATAGCTGAGGTGTTTTCCACCTCCAGCTAACGTGTGGTCGTTGCTGGAGGAGACGAAGTGCACGGGTCTTGTGGCCGTGCTAGGCTCGAAGAGCGGTTCCACGTGGAGCGAACAACGGTCCAGCCACCGCCTTGTGTGTGCACTTGATTCCCAAATACAGTGTGCTTGTGAAGGAGTGTGGGCCGGCTCGGTTGATGTAACCTGGTCGCCTTCCGGTGTTATTCCTTCGGGTTTACACTGGATATGGGGTGTATGGATGGAACTGTGGGAGGTGCAGCGCAAGCCGCCCATGGTCCCTCTGTAGGCGCAGGCGTCCTGTGCTTGGCCCTGTGGAGGCCACAGTGACAGACAACTCCGGAACCGAACGCCGCCAGCCATATATATGGTACTTGAAACCTGGGCGCAAAACACCAAATGGCACAAAACTCATCTTGCTGCTGGTTTTACTGGTTTTTTGTCTGTATTTTCACTGGAACACCCCATCCTTCTAGCAGCAAGCACAGAAATCCTCTGTACACTCCATTGGATGAACATTTAGGTGATTGACAGAGTTCTTTAACTTCACGCTGTTTGGCATGCAGCATTTTTCAGCACAGTGATCATCCTTTTTTTCTAACAGTTTTCTTCGCCTTTTTATCAGGTTCTTGGTGCTTTGTTGTATCCTTGTCAAGATGACGTGCCATCGCTGCAGAGCATGTGGAATCACGGGCGGCGGATTTTGTTCTTCAATCACCTATCCGACAGCGACCGCGAGCATTTTTGGCCTGGACATCGCATGATATCGCTTTGGCCCAATACAGCTCACGTGGGCTCAATGCTTCACTTTCTTGACTACCATTATTCGTAAGTATCTTCTCACAAATGCAGTTACGCCTCACTTTTATCAATCGATTTAACTGTTTTTCTCTTTGTCAGGATATTCTAACGCAATGAGTAAGTGGTCTGCTGATTTTCCTGGTTTTCAGACGACGTTGCTGACCCATGTCATCGCGCTCATCATTTTCTGTCATCATAGAGATTGTTTGCAGTGCGTCCACACACGTTGTTGCTATCTCGTTCGCCAGTTCTAGTAGCAGCAGCAGTAGTAGTAGTAGCAGCAGTAGTAGTACGTAACGCGGGAAGGCTCAGTGGACTTAGATAATTTTAGTAGTGTCTCCTAAACCGTTTTCATCCACCGATTTATTCCTTCGGTGTCAGTTTTTCCTCCACAGTTAACTTAGCACAGACGACTTCGTCTGAATAGATTTTACTTGAATGCTGATGCTTTGGCTTTGTTGATGGCTTTCACCGGACTCTACTTAGTACGTAGGAATTGTCTTCCAGATGATCCACTTCTCGGTATGAAATAAACTGACGATATTGTGGCAACTTACTAACCTATGCACTGGATGTACATCCTTACAACGTTCCTGTTCGAGCAGTTCACACTTGGTTTTATGTATTATCCAAGGTTATCGTCTGTGATTTCCGGGCAAAAATGGAAGTAGGTTGGTTTGTTTTTGTTTTTCTGCTGTTTGTATGGGTCGTTTGGATTGCGTGATATGGCGTAGTACGGCCACTGCACTGTCGACACGTACCTTGAACACGGCTAACGTGAATGCTGAAATAACAGCTTCTGAGAAGGTACTCCGCGTGTCAAACACACAGCGAGAGGAAGTTTCTTTGACGCTCCAGCCGACTGTATTGTGTTGACAATTTGTGATGATGACCACTTAGTTTCTTGTTGTTGTGGCAGCTTCAACAGGTGGTGGCACACGTGATTAGTGTTGTTTAGTGTTTGGTAAGCCATGATTAGGTAACCAAGAAAACGCCGATAACGTTCGCTGAAAATGCCAAACTCTCTGAGGCGTTGTTCGTATGACAAGTGGCACAGCCCTTTGACATTTTTGGTCGTCCGACGTTGCGGAATCTCCGTGAGATCCCGCCATAGCCTTGAGTGCCATGCTTGAATTGCATATTCAACATGAAAGCGTATGTAAACGGGAAGTATTCGGCGGAAAATAGACGGTTTGAATTGCCCGAAAGCTCTCCGTACAAGCCCTACGATTTGTATCCTCTATTTCGATGCTTTGTTGCACTGCTCCGAGCAGCCGAAATCTTCCTGGACCAACACCCACATCCTTTTCGAGAGAAAAGTTTGGCATATCCTGGTCCCCTAGCTTATATGTGTGAACCATTCGGTGTCGCAAATGAAACACTCGACGTTTAGCCACATTGAATAAAAGGCGCTTTCGGACCGACCACCCATAACTCTTGTCAAGGTCGTGTTAAAGCTGGATACAGTCTTCTGGAGCTCTGATCACTTGCCAAACTGGTTTCCTCATCGTAGAGTAAACAGTTTGACTCAACTTGGCTCATTAGCTCGTTTTTGAAAACCAGGAATAGACGGGGCCCCAGTACCGAGCTCTGTGGCACTGCGCATTCGACGTGAATTGGCTCTGACTTGGATTCACGTACTCTCACCTCCAGACGCGTGTGCGAGAGAGAATTGCAGATCCACCCTAGAAGATGGTTCCCAATGCCACATCCTTGAGATTTGGCAAGAAGGATACGATGATCCAACCGGTCGCATGCCTTAGAGAAATCAAGGTAAGCCACATCAACTCCTGCATCAGCATCCACCGTTTCGGTCCAACTGTCTCGTGCTAACAATAGGTTACTTGTGCATGACCGATTCTGTTGGAAACCGTATTGCTGCTGAGCAGTGTGACCAAAACCTTCCAGATAAGACATGTATGCGTCCGCAACGATAGGCTCCATACCTTTTGAAAGAACTGGTAGAAAAGTCACTGGCCCATAATTAGCTGGGTCGGAACGACTACCCTTTTTGTAGAGTTATTGTCCCCTATTACCACGTTGCAGGAACGTGCCGCTCGTCAGGGTAGTGGTGGAATAGCCGTGCCAGAGGTTCAGTCAGAAGATTAGCTGCCACAGCAAGCGTCTTTGAGGGGATGTCGTTGATTCCTGGACAGGTGTGTAGGTGCATGAATTGCAGCTTTCTCATCACGATGTCTGCCCTTAAAATTTATATGAGTGAGAACTGGTGTGGGCACCATAGATCCCAAAGATTCCTGAAACTACGGAACGCATTGTGCATATTGTTGTTGCAGAACATTCGCCACTTCTTTAGCAGTCCGAGTTAGACCATCCGTAGTTTGAAGAGGAGGAAATCCACTTTTCACTTTGCAGAGGCTGTTCATGTGCTTGTACAGAAACAGGATTTGCAGTTAATCGCTGGGCTAGTGGATGTTGATAAGATACTTTGTGTTCGCGCCCTATTTGGGTATAGCGGTTACGGTGGACAACATGGGCCTTCCAGGTACTCGGACTCGGATCGGTTTTCTAGGTATACCACGCCGCGTTGTGCATCACCATGCATTTGCGTGTCCTACTCCGTATAACAGACGTCATGTTTCTCGAACTGATAGTCTTGGTTTCCGATGCCCCATTAACGAAGGTGTTAAACTTACGGACGAAACGTTCCCAAGCAATATCGGGTACATCCTCGGTTAGGAAACTTCAGTCGGTCGCTTCAACGACTCGGGTTTAAGGTGTCGTAACTGGTTATGGTTCGCATCGTTTGAGTTCTGTCCTCGGGGTATTCAGCATGAAATGCAAAGTTGCATGACCACTGTGACAAGACATTTTCATGTAATGATACAGTACAGTGCTGCCGTCTGTCCTCCTCTCCTGCACGGTTGTGATACCTGTCCCATTAGGTCGATAGGCGTCAAGTGGCTAATTGCTTTCATCCACTCGTTCCCACGCAGTTTAGCTCATATCTATTGCGAGTACACGTGAGGAACTAGCATGTCCGACACCTTATTTATGGTCCAGCAAGGGGACGTGAAGTGCTTAGCAGTGTTATTTTACTCACCATAGTGTTTGGGTCGTGTGTGACGCATGTGCGATCAGGATCTGGATGCAGAAACGGGAAGGAGCCAAGTCGATGACTTTTACGAAAGAACGAAGGCTTTTGCCTCGAACGTGGCCTATGTTTGTCCATGCGGACTCTTAGGTTGGGGTTCCTCCGATCATGAACACGGCTTGAAGACACTTATTTGCTTGACCAATAGCTGACCTCAATGACGCATATATTGTGTGTTCCCTTGTGTCTCCGCTCCTCCCAATTACTTGTCTTGTTGTTACGGAGAGCCAACATACAAACCGAGAAGCGTGGCTCAACATTATATCGATCTACAATTGGAGATCGAATTTGAGTAGAGATCAAAACGCATGTCTGTGTGGGATCAGCAGCAAGTTGGACCATGAACTTGAACCGTTTGCGTTGTACTACTTAATATTAACTAGCATCTCCAACAACCAAATGTGTTTCCCCTCCTTTCTTTCTGGTCCATGTAACTCAAATCATTCATATATGGATCGCCTCTTGGCTTCACATACGACATGCATTTTCCCTCCTACTACCGTTCTGGCACCCGAAAGTTTTTTGTCCGTCGGAAGCTCCCTTTCATCCCGTGCTGTGCTTCAACTTTGCTAACCTCTCAAACTTTTACGCCTACATTCTTTCCACTTTTCAAAAATACTACTTTGGCATTTTGTGTAAATTCGGATTCAAGTGACTTGCTACGCTACTGGAATGAACTCCGATTGAAACATCATCAACAATCCGCTACCCATGAGCATTTTTCGTAACAGCTCTTGCCTGCTGTATCGTCCATGGCTGTTGTTGTAGGAAGTCATGATTCCAAGGCGAGCGCTGTCTGCAGCGTCCCAAGTTTACGTGGCATTGGAGGATGCGTTCCGCTATATCGCATTTATCCTGCGACATTGGTTGCTGATTAATGTCACAAGCCGCTAGTGTGCTTCAGTGCATCCTGTTATAGCCGGGGGATGTGCACTACGGACTGTCCGGTGCTTTTCCGAAAGTCTGAATGGTTATCTGACCTGTAGGCTATTTCCATGTGTCCTCAGTACAACGAACGTAATTTTTTAGCTGGCAATATAGCTTCCATCAGATGTGTCGCTTTTACTTACGGATTCTCACTTCCACCTGTTAGCCATTCCATCTGATGATCTTAAACTTTTTCTATTACTTCCTCACCTTACCTCACTTTTTCTCACATTTTTATCCACTTTTGCACCTTCCGATTATCATCACAATGGTCCCGTAAACCAAGCTGATCTCCAGCTTGGGTTCTTTGGTTTCATCTTTTTTGCCTGACCAATTCAACTGTTCTGCGGTGAAGTTGTTTACTTTTATATTTTTGTAGAGAAAAATCGATGCGGAAACGAAATTCATTTTACGTATTCCAAGGTGTCCTAACTCCAACTCCGTCGTACCTTTGTCGCCACCTGTACGGAGGCTATCGGCGGCTAGCTAGGATGGCTGGTGAGGCGTTCGAACATTGGCTGCAAGATCCACCACGGTTCGCCGGACCGAATGGAGTGAATGTTGCCATCATCGACTTTGTTATTTCCGATTTCCCCGGTTACGCGTGGCAGGTGATTAAACTGAATTACAAAACTTGGGTTCCAACAATGTATTTTTTGCCTTGATGACGCCTGTTTTCAATAACCCGGTGGGGATATGTCTCGCACGATACGTCCGACATACTGCGCCAAACGTTAATTCAACTATTCTGGTTTATAACCTTTTTCTATCGTAGTTTTCCTTTTATCCATTCTTCTCTCTATGTGATGCATTCATCTACCCAGGTGTTGATTTTTGTCACGATGAATTGTAGTGTGCTTGCAGCGCTCTACCAATACACGTATTTCAACTTGATGAAGATCTTGGATAGTGCCAGGCAGCCTCAGTAGGAGCGTCTTTCATTGGGACCGAACCGCCGATGTCCTCAGTGATGCTCGCTGTCAACGCTGCACACCAAGGCCTATCATGCTCATGTTAGGACGGCTGAAGCGGGAATTCGACTTCGCGAAGCAGTGTTTGTTTGTCAGTCTCTCTAACAACAAACCAGTAAGCACCTTTCGTAGTGGTTGGGAAGCCCACATGAATTGCGAGGCGCAGTTCGAGTAGAATTTCGATAAATCCAATCACCGAGACCTAGGTGGGGATATATTCGTCATTTCTTGTTTCAACTTGGTTTCACCGTTGTTTGAACCTTTGCCGTTGATGGTCGCAGCTGAATCTTGCAACAGATGGTTGTTTGGATTGCCTTGTTTTAAACAAACTCCGAGGGGGTACACGACACCGGGCTGTGTTTCACAGATTCGACCCTTTGTGGGCACGGACGACGACCTTGCAATGCTCTTAGCCCAGGTGCGGCTACCTGTGGCAGCGAATTGTCGCTGCCGTATTGCTGTTTTATCTTCTAATTCATACTCATCGTCGTCTTGCTTACTTCTGTTCAGCATAAGCCAACGCGCTTGTCCTTCCCCCAGGGATCTCGTTTTCTGCAGCCATTTACAAGCCGTTCTGGACATAGACAAGTTTGGACGTGTTATCCATAATATTTAGTGCTTGGTTGGCTGCGATTAGCTGCTTGTCGCAACACCTATAGTTTAATGGCGGTTCCACCCACTGTAGTTGCGTCGTTTTGCTTTTTTATGCGCATAAGATGGAGCCGCTTTCTCACATTTGCTGTTACAGGCTAATCCGTTCTTATCTCATATCACTTTTAAGTTGCGATAAATATGTTTCACCACAAAACTGTTGTTCTGATGGATCTAGCTATCTCATTACTGTGTACTCCGATTGGCGTAGCCGTGTGAATATGCTGCGATAATCTTAGAACAAGCGTCAGGTTTTGTCTCCATCCTTGATGTAGTTATTTCAGTCGTAACAATGCCGTCGTAAAACAACAGTGTTACAAATTCAGGTGTCACCCTATGCAATAGAATATGTGATCATCCGTTGTATTGCAACACCGAGGCGTTTTTACCGAGCTCCACCACCCGTAGTGCCGGCGTGACATCACTCTCGCTCTGAAGAGTTGAGTTTACAAGGCAGGCATCCATTCACTCCTCCTGTACGGCTGCGAAACCTGGCCCATCAGGTCGACAGAAATATGGGAGCTAGTCACTTTCGATCATCACTGTTTTCGCAACTTAGCACATATCTGGTAGGAACACCGCGTGATCAGTGAGTGTGTTGGGCGTCGCGTATTTGGTGCAGGAGGAGTGAGTGTACCGCTCATTACCGTCCTATCACGCACCAGGCTCCTATGGCTGGGCCACCTTTTGCGCATGCGAGCCCACCGGCCGCCGCGTCGTGCGTTGTTTGCACACCGGTGGTGTGAATGGAAGAAGAGGAGCAGAGACCAAGCGATGACTTGGTCAAAAGGAATGAAGGCCCTTAGTTCGAATTTGACGTTGGTTGGTGTCCACCAACTGCCGGGCTGGGGTCCGAGGGACGATGAACACTTTTAGTTGGATACACTTTTTGACTTAACGACGGGTCTACCTCAGTGGGGATTGTGTTGTGAATCTCTTTATCCATCTTCCCTTTAGCCTCATCCAATCACGATTTCGCACTCCATTTATGGTATGATACCTAGCATAATATTACCTCTTTGGCTTTTGTATTCTGCACTGTCTTGTATCTCGTTTTTCTCATATGCCCTATGTTTTGTATCCCGACACAATTGCTGAGTTGTTTCTCACCTTCAGGTAACCTGTAGTGAAGATGATGGTAAAAGTCGCAAATACATTTTGACAGACACGCTGTGTTGGGGAATGGGTTACAGGCCAAACACTGGTCTCGGGAGATCAATTGAATTGGTATAGAGGATACGAATACGATCATTTTATTTTATTTTCTTCCCGTGGTACTTTCATCACGGAATGTTGTCGAAACGCATTTGAGAGGCAATCTGAACAGACCTACTTCGCGCAATTCGAGCTTCCACTGCAACGAAATCCGCCAACTCTTTGAAGCCGATCGTAAGTGATGGTGTTGTATACTCTTGCCCATCTGGCCTGCAGGCTGTTTGGTGGTATACGAACTACCCGATCAGTGGTGACAGTGGAATTCAAATCAGCAGTGAAATTCATCTGTGATACGACGATATAGCAATTTTCCATTTCCAAAGACCTGGCCTTAAGCCAGTCATTAGTCCTACAATTAGTTATCTAGCCATTACACAGCTTTCACCTATAAGCTCGCGAAGAACACTTCTTACTCTTTCGCACTCACTAATGACTTCTATGGCACGATCACGGCAATAATATATCTGATAAAGCAATCTCTGTTCATTGTCTTTCACCGGGCTTTCAACAAAGTATTCAAACTGCTTAACTAATCTTCTATAAATAGAAGAGTTACCATCAAAATATTCCAACTAAACCTTTGACAGATCTAGCTGTGTGTGCTTCTGTGGCGACAAGATATTCAGAACAAGTCTGTTATTGTACGTCTCGGTTGCAGCGTTTCGACCCTCGTCGACAAAATTAGCAGTGCGATAATCTCTTTTTCCGGACAATGCGCAGGTACACATGTAACATCACATTTGACCATATGTTCTCCTCATTTTACCCGAAACGTAGCCATCTTCACTTCAACTTTTAGCAGGCGCCTGCATTTTCGTCTCAATCCCGGATAGTAACGGACATTTTTCTAACTCAGCTGATGTCAAAATGGCAGAACAACAATTGGAAACATCGCTATGCCACTCTTATGACTAACTTGTGAACGAGAGCATGAAACATTCTCATCAGGATCATCGTCAGTGAATTGTCGAGACTCTTGGTTTTCACGAATTTTCCGAGTCGATTGTTCTCGGGACGCATGATCAAAAGTGATCGCTTCAATGAGTGTTGCGTCTTCTATTGGACTCCGAGATAGTCGTTGCTAACTGCACTAGTGCACGGCATTCAAATCCACTTCCAAAACGAGGAAGCACCATTGGGTACTGTAAGCGTCAAACCGTTTGGAACTTTTGAGCGAACTCCTTTCCACCGGAGTCAGCAGCAATTAGACTGGTCTTAAAATACGGTACTATCTACAAACGATCGATACAGCAACAACACTTCAATAACCTGTGCTTCCGACACAGGCGCGCCATCATTAGCAGCAATAACAATCAAAAATAGCCAACAAGCTTCCATTCAGGACACACTTGGGAATAAATTCGTATCAATTCACTGTGGCCTAACCGGTCATATACAGGATCAATCAGAAAAGGAGGCTACCCTGAGCCATGGATGCTTGAGAATCTGTGCATTACCCATAGTGATGACATTATGTTTCAAACTCTACTCAAGGAGGAACAACACAATAGATTGCACGAGCCAATTGGCTTTCATGCGTGTATTCACTCGCATCAACATTATAAAATGTGAGGTCACATGCGAGGTACGAGGGGGTGTTCAAAAAGGAACCAAACTTGAACTACTGCACCAACCGGTAGTGGGAGCGCGTTGCGGCTACTGAGCGCATTTCGCTCTGATTGTTCGTTGGTGAGATACAGCTGCTGTAATGAGCACATGCACAAGCTTGTCGTCGGATTAGTGCCAAAGCGAAAATGAAACATCTTGAGGAACAACGTGTGTGTGAAAGTTTGCTACACACTTGGCCAAACTTTTACGAAGAAATTTCAATTGCTTAGCCAAGCATACGGGGAGGGCTGTATGAGTCGGACGCAGAGCTATACGTGGTTTTAAATATTTTGCACCCGGCAGTATGTCCGTCGGTGACGATCCCAAGCCTAGACGACCTTCCACATCAACAGACAAGGACCATGGCGACAAAGTTCTTGCTGTAATCCTTAAAAATCCTTTAACTGTTCGAGAATTTACTGAGGAACTGACATCAGCGTAGAATCATGCCATCCAATTCTAGCGCGTTTGAGGAATGCTGTGCCGCACGAATTGGCCTGAACGGTAGAAAATACAGACTTGGATGTTGCATAATGACAATGCGCCAGCTCACGCACCACACCTTGTCCGCAACTATCTAGCAAAACATTTCCCGTTGTGCCCCCTCCACCGTATTCGGACCTAGCCAATGCAGACTTTTTCCTGCTTCCAAACTTAAAACCACGTAGAAAGGACGTCGTTTTTAAACCATAGGAGAGATTCAAGACAAAACGACAAAAGACCTGCGCGTCATCCCTTAAAGTGCGTTCCAGGAGACATGCCAAAAGTGGAAGCACCGTTGGAAACAGTGTATTGCTATTAGCGGGGATAACTTTAAGGAGGAAAGCGCTTAAACTTTTTTACGACGAACAATAAAAATGTTATAGCAAAGTTTGGTTTTTGTACACCCCTCGTATTTTGAGTACATAGTTTACATCAGCGTTCTGATGATACGAGGGGTTAGATTGAAACGTTGCAGAGCACCAATAACATAGATCGTTAGCATATGAAGCGATAACGTGGTTTGAGGTCAGGAAAGTAGGTGAACGTATGCGATTGTATGTAGGTCGGTCACGTTCTCAAACTGCGAAATTACCGTCGGAACACATAATGTGCGTTGAGAAACAGAGAAAAGGATTGGCTTAGGACAATAACAAAGTTGGCTAACTGGTAGTGAGGATTATGAATAGGACGAAGACATCACAGGATTGGGCGACCGGAATTCTTCTACCAACATATATACCCGAGGGACCGTTACCAGTGCGACGTTTAATTGGATAAAGCGTAATGTTCACTTGTTCATATCGTAGATATTCGGTTGCGCCTGGTACTGTCCCCTTCATTCATTGACTAGTTGATTCCTGCTCTGACAGATTCGACATTAGTACGCGGTGCTACAAGGCAGTGCATGGTCCGTGCCTATTTCTGTCCTTTCTAGAGTACTTCGCGAGAGTAATCATTTCAGGTCAT